AGGTGTGCCGCGGGGGGGGGTGCGGGGGGGGGGGGGCAGCGGGCCCGCCGCCGGCCCCTGCCGGCGTGCAGGCTGCCGTCCGTCCTGGTGCGGTGCGTCACGTCGGTGTGGTGAGACTGGTGCGGCTCACAGGCCTGGCTGCGCCTGTGGAGCAAGTCTGTGTGCAGGCCTGCGGTACTTCCAACCCCAGTTTTATAAAGTAGTCCTACTTAACGATAAAAAGTAGAAATGACCCTAGCCGAGTTTTTAAAAAATCTCAGTTTACCTAACACCTATTAAAATCACGTAAGCCTCAAAAGTGGAAATATATAACCTTTTCAAGTAGAAGTATTTGCTGCTCCGGTCTGACAGCTGCCTGGACCACCAAACTGGTGGAAGACTCCAAGCGAGTGAGTTTCCCACTTTCTGACTGAAAAGCAACAATTTATATATTGCTCCTCTTTTGCCAGTTCTTACAGACTTGTGTGTTCTGCAGTGTAAAAGCATAATTGTGAACTCAGTGACCTGAAGTGTCCTGTATGCGGTTGAAGCATTTTTGTTGGTCAGACTGTACACTAGGATGAAGGGTAGCTCGGTTCTGAAAATGTATTATTTCAGCACAGGAGGATACCACTAATATCATTTTGCAGGACTGGCTCCGACAATAAAACTTACCATTGCTTTGTGTGTCTGCATGTAGGTATTTTGAAAGCTTATAAGAACTGTAAGATGTGCCTATGCTTTGCAGACTAAGTTGTACTGGGTTGTTTTTTCACAAGCAGTATCACTTATCAGAGTTAATCAGCCAGATGACTAGCAGATACTGCACAGTCTTTATGTATAACTGATCCCAGCCATACTGCCTATTGCAGGACTGGAAGATGTTTCAATGTGCAGCGATTCTGCTAGCATAAACCTGTTCTACATGCAGCAGAACATAGCAAGGAACCATTTTCTGTAAAACAAAACATTACTCAGTAGTAACAGCATCCAAATATTTCTAGTTTTCTTCAGTTACAAGGATGTTTATTTTTCAGTTGGTTTCCTAAACAGTAATGTATCTAAAAATGTAATTACAGATGTGTATGCAGAAATTTAATGAGCCTTCTTCCCCTGTGCCCCTCCAAAGAAAGTGTTTGTGCTGGAATGAAGTAAGGAACTTGATCTGGCTGCAAAAATCTCATGGATTTACCTTTCTGGATTATTTTTCAGGTAGACCACTTTCCCTGTCTGATTCACCATGTGACCATATGACATTGGCAAAGGTAGTGGGGGGGGGAGGGGAGAGGAGGAACCTCTTAAGTAGTAACGCTGCCAAAGAGCTAAGCAGGACCTCAGTTTTTCCACTGGAAGAATTTTTTAAAGGATTAGTGAAAACACTTGATTTTTCTTTTTTACTGATTCATAATATTCTCTTTCTGGCTTTCAATGCAGGAAAACGTGACATAAACAAAATCAAGCATTTCATTACTTATGTGAAGGATAACACTCCTATGA